AAGCATGATTAAAAATGATTAATTTCCAGATCACATAATCTGCTCTTCCATGTGCACTCCATCGTAAACAAACTACCACCAACAGTTAATTACCATTTATTATTTTTAAAGCAGTACATAACGCATTCATTTGAAAGCTTGTCAGTAGATTTAATTGAGAAAATCATGTAGTGGATTAATGAAGCAGCAAAAACCCAGCCTCACTAGCCTTGCATTAAAGGGATAGTTCACCCAGAATGTTTGCGATTCCGTGGTCATGTGATGAGCTCTGTGTACTGTATGTGTGTCAATCATTACGTATATGTAAATAAAGTCTACGTTAAATCTGGATAACCAAAATGATCATATCAATCCTCTCAGCAAAAACTTTTAGATGTTGGGTCAGAAGGGTCAAGCTTTGTGGAACTAAATTCTTAATAATGTTCTTATTTCTTATGCTACATTCTGTACTTAACCTTTTAGTATTAAAATATTGTGGCATTGTGAATGTGCCATATTTTTTAATCTGTGCGTGTGTAGCCACAGGGCTACTAGTGCAGGCGTCAGTAGGGCTCAGACAGTGATCTGCTGTGACAGTCCCTCGCTTTGGTGCCACGCGGCAATGTGGCCGTCCAGCCGTATACTGACAAGAATTCTCGGTTTTACCCTTTGCTCTCATTTATATCCTCAACCCTAGAAGAGCCAGTTTCACATTTACTAACATCTGTGACAGCCTTTATTCTGCTATGACATCCACGTCCATATCTCTAATTAATGTGATAACAGTCTTCAGGTGACGTAACCCGGGTCATTAATCTGTCGCTCTGATTAAAAACATCTCTGTTATCTAGCCTTGTTGCTGAGAGCAGTCTTGGTATAGATTGCTTACAGTCGAAGAAATCATATAAAGAAGCTTTCATCATTCTTAGATTGCTAGCTGGACTATCATTGATGTCAATACTTGATGACACATCTTTTGGTTCTAACCAAACATTACCCATCCAAAATCATTCCTCTTCCACTCTACAGTGCCATTTAATTCATTACCCAGTTCAAAAGATCATCAGCAAAAACAATGCGCCTCATTCACGGTTGTGTTTCAAGGCTGCGCTCAGTGAATCAACCAGCACTTCAGACAGAAACAAAGACCCTAAAGAGAGCTTAAAAACAAGAGACCTAAAGAAACCCCAACACCTCCAAAATAAACTATGCACTTTCTAAACTATAAAGACCACAATAAAAAGCAATAATCGCCTTAATAAAATCGCTTGTGCTTTTCTCATGTACTAATGAGTTTATAATTATTAACAAACAAGGTACAATCAATATTTCACTATAATTTACAATCTTATGAACAATACTACAGGAAAAAATATTGATCTGTGCTCATAGCTTGATTTCGCTCCATACACACGGTAGTTTATCTGTGGCTGGTCAGTAATTCTGAGTGCCAGAAATCGCTCATACCAGCTGTAACATCCCTCATTCAAAAGTTACTAAACGTCTGCAAAAAAAATGCAAATGTGACAATTATAAGTTCTGTTTCAAGTAGAGCCAGATGGTTCAGATGTGCTCAGCTGACAAACACAGTGAGATGCCATAGAATCATCTGCAGAATGAAGCAGATGAAAGTAAAACTGAGTGTGTGGTGGTCTAGAGCTAGGGCTGGACGATATGGCCAAAATTTATATCACGATATATTTCTTAATTTCGGTCGATACGATATAATTCTGATATCGATATGAACACTATTAAAAAAGCCTCATAAAAACGGCCAAGAACAGCCACAACAGATGTCTGTACCTACAAACTTATGAAAAATTAATTTGCCAACTCTATGAAACCTACTCCTATAAAACTATATAATATTTTAGGAAAAAAATGGCGCAAATAAATAAATGTTCACCTTTTATTGGTATTTAGCCTTCATACAAACAAGAAATGTGAAATCACTGTCAAATAAATCTGACTCTCCTTATTAATATTAATATTTTTTACTTCAAACTATAGGCTAACATACACTACCAGTCAAAAGTTTTTGAATAGTAAGGTTTTTAATGTTTTTTAAAGAATTCTCTTCTGCTCGCCAAGCCTGCATTTATTTGATCCAAAATACAGCAAAAACAGTAACATTTTGAAATATTTTTACTATTTAAAATAACTTTTCTATTTGAAAATATAATTTATTCCTGTGATTTCAAAGCAGAGCTTTAGAAATCTTGCAGTTCAAAAACCTTTGACTGGTTGTGTAGTCTGATTATTCTTATAGATTGAAACGTGCATTAACCGGGATAACGAGTATGAAACATGCTCCGAGTTAGAAAAATAGAGCAACAACAAAAGCATGTTGCTGGAAACGGGTTTATTATTTAACATGCAAACTGATTGTCTGCCAGCAGGAGGCGCTGTGAGAGCGGTGGAACTAACGGGTTCTCCAGTGATGGCTGTAAACAAAGCAGCTCCGCTCATGAACGCTACTTTATCAGATAAAAATGCCATCTAAACTATTCTGAAGACAGTCGGTTCCCTTCAGAGATACATTCATATAAAACACCCGCAACGCGTTTTGATTTTGAAACGTGCAGTGCTCATGTTTATTCAACGAAGTCAAGCGCCACAAATAAATCAATGTATGGGAAACACTGGTAATGCATATCGAAATATCGGAAATGTGTTTAAAAATCATATCACCGTTATTGAAAAAAATTATATCGCGATACATATTGATATTGAATTATTGTCCAGCCCTATCTAGAGCTCAATGGTGTCATGTGATTCTGCTCATCTCTCTGCAGCGTTGCCATCCACACATGGATTCAAGGGAGAGAAAATCATAACAAATGATCTCTGCACGCCTCACATGAGCACATTAGCAAACTGGTAGACTAACTGTGATAAGGTCATTTGCGATTAGGTAATTTGTAGAAATGTATTAAGGTACTTAATCAATTGTGAGGGTAGGATGGATATGAAGGATCATTCTACACGCCCCTGCAGTGAAACAAATGCTTTATATATTCTATGTAAGTCTCTCAATTAATATGATTGGGGAGGAGCCTTGCTCAATAAAAATAAAAAACGAATGGTTTTAGATGAAGTATACCATGTTACACTGCAGACAGTACATGTCAACAACCCAAAACCCATAGGTGGAGCATGTGTAAGGCTAAGCATTCCCCTGGCCATGGGGACTTGCAGCAAAAATGGCACTAAATTGGGCAAAAATGCCCCTGCACAAATAAATTAAATCTATTACGTCTGTTGCTAACAAAGCGAATATGAATAGGCAGTGTCGATTGCGCCATTAAATTAAAATCTGCTCATGTTGTACCGTATTTCATTTTAGGCGTTTTTACAGTGTTGCGCATTTGAACCAATCACACACAATTCTGTTGCGCTAAGGAATGCAATGGCCAATCAGAAGCGTTCAGATGAGTCATCGTTCAATCTCATCGGTTTTGTTGAGTGCGCGCGCGTTCGCTGACTGAATTCCGGACTCTTGCGAATTCTCTCATCATAACAACAAAGCGCAGATGTACCTACAATGCAAGTAAGAGATTAATTTCACAGTGTATACAGCTTCAGTGACTATAACCATCGTTTTGTTTTTTTGAGAGTGCTTAATTAAACTCGCGATAGATCAATGTTAGTGATAATGTCACTAGCTATATCATTTTTATTTTTATAAGCTATATAAATATATAATGTTTGAATAACCATGGAAAGGAAACATTATATAATTATCAATTTCTAACGTTTTTATTAAATTGTAATCACGTTAAATACAAATTCAGTCCCATTAAACATTTTTTTAGCCTACATGACGGGTTTATAATGTTTAATACATTTGGCTGCTTTTAGCCTTACCCTGGAGTTGGTTCACCCTCCACCTATGCCTAAACCCCATTTTTGCTAAACTGGTACGAGTAACTCCATGTACTTTAAACAACCATGGTACAGCCAAGATCTTGCTATACTTATTTCATAAACAATACTACAGGAAAAACAATCGACACTGGGATCAGTGTTCAGAGCTTGATTCCTGCCCATACATATGGTAGTCTATGTGCGATTTATCTGTGGCAGGTCAATAATCTTCTGTCAGACAGCATGATAGTAAAATGACAAACGTTTACTCTCTTTTTCATTGTCTTATGTACTTACACGTCTAGTCTCCTGCTCAGGACAGATAGTGACGGATTCCCCAGCGTTTCTAGGGAAACGCAACATCTGGGCACGCAACCGCGCGATAACCCAGCAAAAACAGAGTCAACATGCAGGCATGAGATTTAAATAAGACGCAATAGTGTAGGTCTCAGTGATGGCGTTAAAGCAAAAATCCAGATGCTGCAAATATTTGCTCGTTACGATCAGTCGACAGTCAGCTAAGCTAACTAGCTGCAAACCTGTTTTATCTCGACTTAACAGAACGGAAATTCTAGCAAGTGTTGCCCTGCCGTGTGAATAGAGGCTTATGCGGATCAGAGAGCAAAATGCTGAGCAAAGAAAGAAACTACAGATGTTATGAATCAAATATAGAGAAATTAATTTACCTAATTTTCAGCGCTCCCTATCGAAGTCTTGACAACTCTGCCAATCTTGCGCATTTCACGCAGCACTTCCGGTTTGCGATCCATGTCGTTCGGTGTAAACAGCCCGGATGCAGGAGAACGTATGACCACGCCCCGAAAATATGCTGTTATCATAACGTTTGGTTGAACAACATATAAAATGCACCACATAAAAATAAATGATCTAAAACGTACACATTTGTGTGTTCTGCTCTTTGTGTGTTCAGTCAAGAGCCATAAATGTCAGAAGTCTCCCTCGGTGTCAACAACCCTTCATTTAGGGACCACTGAATCTGAGCAACACCACTATTGAATTACAATTACATTATAACCTTTAGTTTAAATGAGTTTGATTTGTGGGTATTATATTAAGTCTGTTCAAATGAGGCGGTTGCACTGAAGCTGCTTTATATTTGTTTTATTGCAAGACATTTTGATGTGAAACAGCCTACAGAAATTCATTGATGAGAGCATTTAGTGATCATTGCACGGCTTCACAAATTTTCTTGGAAGATGAAAAAAAATGTATTAAACTAATCTTAATAATCATTTATTCTGTCTGCCTTCCCATTTATGTGAATTTAATAACAGGAAACTTTATGACCTTTAAACTGTCCTGAAAATGCTTCCTCTTTCAAAGCATCTCAACAAAAAAATACAGTAGTTCTGACAACTATGAAAAAAAGTAAGAGCAACTTGGTGTTGTCTGGTATGTTGTAATCACCCTCGAAACTGGTCTCATCACTGTTCCTTCTCTAGTTCTGTATGGCAAAAACCTGATATTTAATTTCAGAATTCAACCAGAATTACATCTATTTCATTCTAAACAATATGCCTACCCATTCTCACTCTCAATACACAGAAAGAACCCCATACTCACACACTGGTATCAACAAACAAAGAATTCAGGTTTATTTATCCATTTGCAGGTTTGATCACATTTTACCAAAAAGTGTTCATTTATTGTGTGGCAGCTTGGAAGATCACTCCTCATCTGCTGAGCCTGTTTTGTCAATGACTTTCTTCATCCAGCAACGCATACGGAATAAGTGTGTGTAGAATCCATATTTGCCATCACGGTCACAGCCCTCACCCCACGACACAATGCCAATCTGATACCAGCGTTTATCTGTAGGACTCTGTGGGCAGTAATGGGTTTTAAAAGAACAAGGTATTTAAATATAGCAGTGTGAATACAACAATCAGAGCTTTATAGGTCACTGAAAAGTCAAACTTGTTTGAGGAGAGAAAAGCATAAACATTATTATACCTTCATCACAAAAGGTCCGCCACTGTCTCCTTCACAAGCATCACCTCTTTTTGTATCATCTGGCTGGTAGCCTACAAAACAAAAGATGACCTTGTTGTGACACCTGAGTGCAAAAGCATCTCACACAAGCTCTCAGCAACTGAATAGTCTAGGGTCTAAAGACCATGAAAATATGAAGTACATTACCGGCACAGAACATGTTATCGGTGATGATGACCGAGGTGGAATTGCGACAGATGCTCTGATCCACAATGGGCAAATGAATCTGTTGCAGCACTGATGGAAGATTGGTTGGGTTTGAGGACCACGATTCCCTGAGGTTCCCCCAGCCAGTCACACGGCCCTTGTAACCTGCAAACATTAAACTTCAGAGAGAAAATCTGTCAATTACAGCTATATGTATACTGTCAGTTTGTTCTAAAGTTATGCTAAAATGCATTTTCCATACATCGTTGTTCCCCAAGAAAATGTGTTCTTAATAAGTTTCACCATAAATAAAGGTAAACAATTGTATAAAATGACCCCTTCAAGAGGTTAGGTAAGTTTAGAAATCGGAATAAAATGAAAATCTATTTTCTAAATGCATGTAATTCATCTTATTGTGAATGATTCATCCATGATTCATCTGACTTCTCGAATTATTTAGTCTGCTGAAACTCCACCCGTTTCTTAGAGTTGACTGCAAACTCACATTCAGATATAACTCCATTCAATTAACAACTGATGAATAGAAACAAGTCCCTGTCCTACATGATTTTCTTTTCCAATAATGTTCACACAGAAAATATCTGACTCTACATCCATCTCATTGTGATTAAATACATCTATATTGGACTATTGTATTTACTTACTTCTTTGCAATGTTCTTGGTGGGCAGACAAACAGGGTGGATCTCATTTGTAAAGACAACAGGCTTCTTCATGTGTAAAAGAGCAATGTCTCTGTTCAGGTTTTCCTTCCAGTTATATTTCGGGTGGACAATGATTTCATCAATAGCCACAATCTTCTCAGTGCCCCTCTCATACCTGAGAGAAACAGGAAAGGGTTTAAAACAGATGTAAACTGATATTTCTAAATTACTTCGCATACATAAAGAATGTTTTAGTGAAAAGAAATATATGCAGTTTTCTAGAAATTTTTAAAGGGCTCACTTGGTACGAGAGTGTTTTCCAAGGCGGACGAAAATATCATTGATTGTGAAGTTCTTGTTCCACGGAGGGTAGAGAATGCAGTGGGCGGCAGTGAGAATCCATTCATCACTGATCAGACTGGCTCCACACAGCAGCTCCTGAGGACTACGCTTATACAGCATCACCTGCTTGCAAATAACATCACACACAACATTAAAAACAAAGCATTAGCATTCAACGTGATCAATCATGCCAAGATATTTGAAAACAGATGTTTAAAAACAGCCCCTGTGCTATATTTACCATGGAGCACTGGCCACTTCAGCCTCATCTCCTCCCACTATTCTGCTTCCAGTGTATGACATCAGTAGCTCCTTCTCGTTCTTATCTTCTTTGTTGACCTTCTCAAACATGGGGCGCACTCCACACTCTGACGAAAGACAGTTTAATCATCTTAATTATCAGTTGATTATACAAGAACTCAAACTTCTAGTGATAACATCCGCAAAAGAGATGGTGAAGGTATCAGATGTTTACCTTGCTCTCCATTGCCAAAACTACGGAGATTAAAGAAAGCTTTCCTTTTGTCTTCAAGAGTTGTTCTCTCTCGACCACCTGATTCATCGACAAACTTGTCCAAAGGAGCATCTGAGAGTGAATGACAAAGACAGAATGATGTTCAGTGTGGGCTCAGTGGTGTGTTTATGATTTATGTCTAATGCACCTAGGCTTTCTTAACATTTGAAAGTGACATTTAATCCTTATTTAAAGACTATGGTCCAGATATCACTTTTAATGGAGCTCCAAGGTTCAGGGGAAGAAATTAATATTTTGTTGTTAAAGGGAGAGTTTAAAAAAAAAGTAAAATTCTGTCATGTAGTTCCAAAGAAGAAGTCTTTTGACTTCCATAGTTTTTTTTTCATACTTTGAAAGTCAATAGCTAGCAGCAACAGTTTAGTTACTTATTTTGTGTTCAAAAGAAGAAAGAAATTCATACAGGTCTGTAACAACATGAGGGTGAGTAAATGATGACAAGATTAAAATTTTGGGTAAACTATACCTTTAAGGGTGGGGTATGTATTTTTTCAAAAAGTTGGGCCAAGTACCAAAACGAACTTGTAGCCAATCAGCAGTAAGGGGCGTGTCTACTCATGATGCGGATGAGTGAGCACTCAGTGCACAGGACGGACATTAGCCGAGCCAAGCGACAGAAAGATAGAGATGTCGGATAAAAAAACAAAAGAGGAAAACGTCTGCGGAACTAAAGAAGGCTTACGATAAGGCAAGAAGTAGGACCCATGTAAATATTGGATCAGCTTTCCAGCGCATGAGTGAACTCAAGAAGCGGAAGGTCTGCGATCGGACGCTGAGGTTGCTTTGTTTCTTCTCGATGGTTGAGTAACACCGTCCCTGCGTTCCATTCGGAAGGGCTCATCCCTAATCCCTTCAAAGGGTTTACCCTTCAGAGAGAGAGCTTCGAAGGTTTGAAGGGTGTAGGGGACCACACAACTGTTTCTTGAAGTGCCCTTCTGCGTCATCATCACATGCCCACACGGAGGCGCCGTCATCATGCAAAGAATCTGCGCAAAGGATCATGGGAGCCCGAAGTGTCCATCAGTTGTACCCTTCAAAATCCTTCATTCCGAAGGGCCCTTTGAAGTGGCCAGTTTTGAGCACTTCGGTTTGGAACGACCCTTCAATATGGCAGCCATGATTGTTTTCACTCCGAAGTGCCCTTCGGAGGGTGATATATCCCATTTGGAACGCACCGCGTGTCTACACCGGACGGGACAGTTGTCACGCCACGCCGCAACAGCTAAAGTCTGTCTACACTGGACGTGATAAATGCGACCGCTGAAAATCATTTGTGTCAATACGTCATAAATAGAACGCAGCAGCAGTTTTCTGTCGGGGATTTGTCGTGTCGCACCGCGGCGCATCCAGTGTAGACCATAGATATGTATATATATCTATGGTGTACACAGCATCACTGATTATAATGAGTTCTATAGTATTTTGTCGAGCCGCTCGCGTCCGGTGTAGACACGGTGTAACACTGGTTTTGCTTTGTTTCACAGAACTAATAGTTGCCTGGGTTGCGTACGTATGTGTGGGGCGGAGCTATCAAAATAGGGGCGAGACCCTTTTGGGGTAGAGGTGTGTTTGTTTTGGTGATTTGAAATATCAACATTGGCTACCAGAAATCACTTACCCCACCTTTAATGTATGTGTGTTTTTCTAGAAGGCAGTACTGTTCACTCACCGCACAACTCCAAGTCACAGTAATCAATGGTAATGTTTCCACCTGCTCCCTTTACATAGCACCAGGGACCCTCCATATCTCCATCTGGGTTTCTGCAGTGGTTCTTCACCAGCTGAACTTGAGGTAGTAACTCTTTCCCCTTTATAAAGGCCTGCACTTCTGCTGCGCTCCACTGCAGGCATGTGCGTCCCCCCAGAGTCACAAACATATCCCCTGTGTAGGTCTCCCCATTTCCATCCAGACAGTCTTTAGTCTTCAGGTAATGCTCTTCAGGTTTCACAGTAGGTGGTCGAGGAGGGGGAACAACAGCTTCACCTGAGGAGGAAAGTGCGAGCATAAATTGATGGAATGAAACGTACTTACACAGAAGCAAAAAATGTGCCATAAACACAGGACACAAATATGTTTCATTTGCTATCAAATCTGGTAATATGCATGTTTTGGTAAGTCAGCAGTCATTTAGCAGATCCAAAACAACATCCAGTATACTTATTACAGTGACAATTTCTTCTGAACAACCTTGTACAATGGCACAATGGTGATGGCTCAACTTTCTGGTTGCCAGCACAAAGCTTTAGTTATTGCACCACAGGATGTTTTAGTGATATTCTCTACCGCATTTTGGCACGCTGCAGGCCTCCCTCCTGACTGTCGGGTCTCTTGTAAAACACCAAGGGCCTTGATTGCTCTTATCTGGGTTTCTGCAAAAGTTCTCCGGTAGCTTCAGCTGTGTCACATTAAATTCTCTAGGGGGGAAACAAGTCGGTCATAAGACAGAAGAGTATGAAGGTAAAATAATGCCTAAAAGATTTGCATACGCAGGGTAAGAGTTGTGGAAGTGTACACAAGACTGTAAGCGTAAATTAAATTTGCATGCGCAAGAGAAGCTTTGTAAAGGTGTAAATCGCGTTTCAAGCATAAGAAAAAATGATTTGCCACATTTTACTGTTACTCATAAGTGTAATTCATGTACAGTCATGGCCAAAAGTTTTGGCAGTGACATAAACTTTGTGTTTTGCAACGTTTGCTGCTTCAGTATTTGTAGATTATTTTTCCACATGTTTTTATCGTATACTAAAAAACAATTATAAGCATATCATAAGTTTTAAAGGGTTTTATTGGCAAAGAAATACAAGTCAATATTTACAGTGTTGACCCTTGTTCTTCTTAACCTCTGCAATTCGCTCTGGCATGCTGGATATTAGCTTCTGGGCCAAATCCTGACGGATGGCGATCCATTCTTGCCTTATTAGTTACAATCTGTCAAAATCTTATTAGTCAAAAATCACAATTTGTGGGCTTCTGCTTGTCCACTCGCCTTTTGAGAACTGACCACAGGTTCTCTATGGGATTGAGATTCGGGGAGTTGCCTGGCCACAGATCCAAAATTTCAATGTAATGATCTTCGAGCCACTTCTTTATCACTCTTGCTTTGTGACATGGTGCTCCATCATGCAGGAAAATGCACGGATCATCACCAAATTGCTCATGGATCGTTGGAAGAAGTCGCTCTTGATACCATTCTTTATTAATGGCAGTGTTTTTGGGCAGAATTATGAGAGAGCCCACTCCCTTGGTTGAAAAGCAACCCCACACATGGACGGTCTCAGGATGCTTCACTGTTGGCACAACACAGGACTCATTGTAGCGTTCAGCTTTTCTTCTCCGAACAATCGATTTTCCAGATGTCCCAAACAGTCGGAAGGGAGCTTTGAACACATCAGAGAAAATAACTTTGCACCAGTCTTCTGCAGTTCAATCCTTGTACTACCTGCAGAATTTCAGTCTGTCCTTGACGTTTTTCTTGGAGAGAAGTGGCTTCTTTGCTGTCCTTCTTGACACCAGGTTGTTGTCCAAAAGTCTTGGCCTCACTGTGCGTGCAGATGCTCTCACACCAACCTGCTGCCATTCCTGAGCAAGCGCTGCACTGGTGGTGACACGATTCTGTAGCCGACTCCTCAGAGGAGACGGTCCTAGCACTTGCTGGACACTCTGGGACATCCTGAAGACTTCCTCATTGCAGTCGAACCTCTCTCCTTGAAGTTCTTGACGATCCGGTAAATGGTTCTTTCAGGTGCAATATTCTTTGTAGCAATTTCCTCACATGTGAGGACATTTTGATGCAAAGCGATGATGGCTGCACGTGTTTCTTTGGAGGTAACCATTGCTAACAAGAACACAATGATTGGAAGCGCTTCTTCACTCTTTTTATAGCAATCAGTTAGCTCTTACAATCTAATAGTGATTTCACTTGACTAGTACTCATTCACACTTTGTGCTGCTGATATGATTAGTGAATTAATGTTAGCTGGTTATTTTGTGTTAGGATCAAAAACAGTGAAATTTGTTTTGTTTTTGTTTTTTTTGTATAATTTTTTGGCCAATTAAGCTTTTAGCAATTATTTAAAATGCATCTGATCACTCTACACAATAATCTAGAAACAATGTGAACGAACACCACAACAAAGCAGCAAACTTTGCAAAACACAAAATTTATGTCACTGCCAAAACTTTTGGCCATGACTGTATTGTGAAAATGCAGCTTCATGCTAAATCAAAATAAATATGATCTGCATTCTTCTGACTTCCATTTTTCTGCTCTTACACTTTTGACAAGTTGTTTTCGCTAAAATATGGTCAAAAGTACAGCAAGCCTGTGAACAGTGATTTGCAAGTGAAAACAACAGTTGACTGGATTGACTGCATAGAACCAATCTGTATGTGTAAAAAAACAAACTGTTGCTAATGTCTAAATGACTTCTTGTGCATGTGGGGCAAAAAGTTCCCGAAATAAACCGATATGTACAGCTCCGTCTTTCTTTTCTCTGCGCTTACAATTTTGGCACGATTCTCTCACTCACTGATTTTTGCAAGCGTGAAGGGGAGGATGGGCGGGTCCACCACCTTCTTGTAGCCAATCAACTGAGGCTCTCGCTGACTCTCCATTTACTCTTATCCGATTGGTTCAATAAACACATCACACGCCAAAACATTAATCTTCATTTAGTTCAGGATCATTGTCGCTGCCAGAGTGGTACTTTTAAGGTACACATACATTAAAAAAATAAATAAATAACTTAATTAAAACATGATACTTTATAAGTTGTGTACCATTAGGCTATGTGTTCATACTGAATTTCAAGCTGTGTAATATCCTTTTCTTCCTCAACAGGCTATATATGATATATTAGTTTATTGTAATATTGTAATTTTGATTATATTAAATATGGCCTAGTATCTGCACTAGTTTAATACATGTATAATTTCACCTGTCCATACATTAAAAAAATAAATAAATAACTTAATTAAAACATGATACTTTATAAGTTGTGTACCATTAGGCTATGTGTTCATACTGAATTTCAAGCTGTGTAATATCCTTTTCTTCCTCAACAGGCTATATATGATATATTAGTTTATTGTAATATTGTAATTTTGATTATACTTAAAGATGGCCTAGTATCTGCACTAGTTTAATACATGTATAATTTCACCTGTCTACTGATCAGGGACGATTCCATTTTTAAGATAGCTGTGTGTTCCCTAGTGACTGGGAATGTTGGATTCCCACATAATTAGTTACTTGAATTTGGATATATATTTAGACATCATTAAAGACATATTTTTCTCAAAGTTTATTTAAAAAAAAAATTTTTTTTATGTTGATTTGAAGTGTAAGTTTTTGCGTTAGTCAAATCTGGACACAAAGAAAGCATTTTGTTACTCATACTTGCTTCATATAATAGTTTTTCGCGTTTGGTCTCATTCTGTATTGTGTATCTTGTCTGCGCTTGCTTGGCCATTTGTTGCGGAGAAAATAAGGAAAGTGTGTTCAAGCGCCAGCAGAAAACAGTGTAAAGAAATACTCTTTGAGAGAAGCAGTCTTTATCAGCGGAAGTTAAAAGCAGCTGTAAGTGTATTTACTTGTCTCATTAGTGTGTAGTGCAGTTGTCGTTGCTAGGAAATGCTTGTTTTGTTTACTGTGAGGAGACGTGCTGATATCGCATTTGGTCTCGTTCTGTATCGCGTATCTTGTCAGTGTCTGCGCTTGCTTGGTCATTTGTTGTGAAGAAAATAAGGAAAGTGTGTCCTGCTGAATTAATTTAGTATTTTGTTAGACGGGTATAA